GCAAATGCTTGCCTGGATGTGCACGGAGAGCCCTCCCGGTTCCTTCAGGGCGGAAGTGGGCTCCCCCCTGACTCCTTAAGCAGCTCGTGCTGTCAGTCTCGTAGCTGCTCCTGACCGTCTGAGCACTGAACGCATGTCAGCTGTGTTGTGACGGGTAGCGATTTCGTGGAAGTCGAAAGGCTCCCTTGAGTTCCTGGAGGGCGTCCCCACCCCCCACCACACCACGGCCGCATCACGCACCGAGGGCCCTTTGAGCTGGAGGAAACTGAGCTGCCACAAAAGGAACAGGACGCAGGAGCTTCTGGGCGGGTGCCCGCGCCAGCCGCGCCGGCAAGCTGCCTCCACAAGCCCGTGCACTGCAGAGCCACGCCGAGCAAAGCAGTGCGCCGGGCTCCGTCTCGCTTACCTGAGCTGTTTTCCTTCCGCCCCGCCTGCCCTGCCCTTCGGTCCTGCGGCCAACCGCGTGTCCTGGGCAGAGCACAGTGCAAGGACACGGGAAAAGCCACGCTGCATCAGACCCGGAGTCCATCCGGACCGTGAGCAGCAATGCCACGGTTCCTTCTGAAAGGCAGGAGCTTGGCGTGGCCGCTCCATAGCTGCGTCCCGGGATCCACGGAGCAAGCCGAGTCCAGCCGTTTTCATCTCCGGCCAAAGCGGGTCTTTTGTGAAGCAGACGGAGTTCCATTTCCCATTCCCAACGGAGCCGCCGCCTCCCCCCTGCTCCCCCGCATCCTTTGCATGACAGGAAGACCCGGCCCTTGTTGATGGGGAAGGTCACCTCCACCCCACCCCTGCGTGAGCAAAAGAACTGCTGGAAGGGCTGGGACTTCTGAGGTGGGGGCGGGACAGTCCTGCCGATTGAAAAGTGCTGAGGCCCGGAAGGTGTGGGAGACGTCAAGCCAGGCCTCGGACATTTCTCGGAGTGGACGCACGCCTTGCCTGTCGGCCGTTCTTGAGGCATCCCTTTGCTCTTCAAGTGTCCGCGTCCAAGCAGGAGAGGAATCTGCACTCGTGTAAAATGGGAAGTGGAGCAGGAGCAGAAGTCCCAGGTGCCAGTGGAAAGCATTGCTGTTTTCCTCTGCCCTTCAGAAATGCCCCTCCTTGGGGCTGAGAACACCCGAGCCTCTGCCCAGGTCCCCATGATCTGATCCTGGAAGGACGCCTGCGCAGGGGCCGGGCACCCTCCACGGGGAGGAACACGCGAGGCAGAGGGCACGAGGCCCATCCCTGCCCGAGACCCGCCTCGGCAGCAGAGCCTCCAAGACGCCTTGGCACGCAGGCCGGGAGAGAAGCGGGACTGGGCCCAGCCAGGGACCCCGCAGTGCCAGCGTGGGCTAATGGATGCTCCCGGGGGCTGCCGCGTGGGCCAGGGGCCAGTCAGAGAGGCCGGGCTGGCTCTCCCCAGGGGCTCAGACACCAGCACCCGCCGGCCCGTTTTGTTTCCATCTGCTCTTTCTCCTCGGCCGCCCGTGTGTGGCCGAGCCATTTCCCTGGCATTCCTTGGGCTACGTTCTTTCCCGGATGGCCCTGTGCATTCAGTGTCCCTCTTCCCTAACTTAAAAAACACCACAAGGCGGCAACAAGTTGTTCTCTTGCTGTCTGCTTTCTGTTACCTTCTCTCTGGGCTCCTTCTCAGCCATCGCCCGGGTTGGGCAAGCCGGTACCGTCCGAGGTCACCGGCATCCGCGGGACGGCCTTGCTGCGTGTCTCGTGCCGCATTCCGCTTTGCATTTGATGTTCACTTTGTGCAAACAGGAAGATTGCGCAAATGAGGCAGCAGCCGAGTGCGAAATTTGCCCAAATCTCTGCAAGTGTCCAATTTGCAGAATTTCTCTCCATAGACAGAGCGGTCAGAATTCTGTGCACAGGGAGGGTCGCTGGATGGGGAAGCAGTGCCTCATGGGAGCCCCCCCCTTGCGCTCCAGGCTGGTGCAGACTGGCCCCTGGCCCGCTGCTCTCGACAGGTGGGCTCCAGGTGAGGCATCCCACAAGTCCTCTGGGTGGACACCGGTTTGGATGCCGATTTGCACTGCATGTTGGGTGTTAATGGAAGAGCGAGACCTACCCAAGGGCTAGTCAGTTAATTCAGACAAAAAGCACCAAGAGGGGGAGGGAGGGAGGGAGCCAGGGATGGAGATGCTGCTGCATGTGGAGTCTCCTTTGAGGCCTACTCTGAGTAGGACTGGTGTTGGTAGAGCCCATGCCCCTTCACCAGTTGGAGGGTGCTTCTTGCCCAACTCAGAGGGCTGCCACCTGCCCAGGTAGCCAGGGAGACATGGGCGTTCAGAGTGTCGAGCTGGGATCTAGCGCCCGCTTGGCCACGAAGCCCACCGGGAGCCGTGGGGCCGGCCGGCGTCTCTCGCCCAACCTACCTCCCCAGGCGTTGCTGCAAGGCTAAAGCGAGAGGAGAAACTTGCAAGCTGCCGGGCAGAGAGAGAGAGCATTCCTGGCTACCCAAATGCCAAACCAGAGTCACGGACTCCTAGCGGGCCTCGACTTAGCACAGCCTGCATCTGATGCCACGCGGCGCAGCAGAATTCAGCCTCCATGAGGGCTGTGTGGGGAGACGGGAGGGGGCAGCCCCTGCCAGCGTGCGCCAGTCCGGGGCTGTCCCGCCGGGGCAATCGGAGTGGATCCGGTCCCCTCCGGGCCTCTCGCTCCTCCGCTGGGATTTGATCCATGCCTGGGGGAATCGCCTCTTCGGCCGCTGGACAAACAAACGGCTGCAGCGGGGCTGCTCCTTGCCACAGGTCACGGGAATCCTCCTCTGGCGGATTGGACCTGACAAACGGGGCGGCCCGGCTCTTGCATTCCTCGTGCAGATCAAAGAAGTGAAAGAAAGGGATTTGTGTGTGTGTGTGTGTGTGTCTGTGTTTTTAATAACTTATCAAGCCCCTCTCTATCGGCAAGCTTGCAAGAAGGACTTTCACTGATGCAAAGCCTCATTTTCAGGAAGGACGGCGCCTGCCAAGTGCCCGGGAGGGCCGAGAGATCCTGGGTGGACTTCTCTCTGGTGGCCGTAAGACAAAAGGGCTTGCAGTAACATAGAAACAGAGCGAGTCAGAAGGGGTCTCCCGGGCCATCTAGTCTGACCCCCGGCGCCAGCAATTAATTCTGGCGTAGCTGCTCAGAAACAGCAGGTGTGCCTCATCTTTGAGGCCACGTGTTGGAAAACTTGGTTGGTGGGATGGAAGTTTGCCGGGGGAAGTCGGTGGCCAAAGGGGACTCTTTCATTTTCTTCATTCTCTTCCTGAAGAATGTCAGGCACGAAAGGTTTGTGTGTGGGTGGGTGAGGGGAGAGGTTTCCCTAGTAATGCGTGCAGTTTGAACGTGAATAGATTGTGTTATTTCTTACTCATATTTACCAGAACTCCCAAGGAATAAAGGTAATGTATACTATCCTTTTACCATGGAACTGGTCCGAATATAGCATAAAAATATGAAATTCTGAGCTCTTCCCGTGTCGCTATTATGTCTCATTTTGGACCACCAAATTCAATATTCAGGATCGATATGTGCAATATAAGTCATGGAGAGAAATTGGGATTTATGGACTCAGAGATCAATTTCATTTTGGATCATTTCATACTTTGGACGCATCAGGCAAAGGCAAGACTCCCTGGGGGACCATCATGCCAGGGAAAGTTGAAGGCAGCAGACCAGGAAGGCCAGCAAAGAGGTGGACGGGCCCTGTAATGGAACCGCGGCCCTGAGCTTGGAGGGGCTGTCGCGGAGAGGGCGTTGGCACGCCTGGAACCAGCATCAGTCGGGGACAGCTGGTGGCACTTCGCGCCACCCCCACCCCCACCACCCCCAGCAGAGATCGATTTATACAGGGGAAACCGATCTCGGAATTGGGTTCAGTTAAGGGACAGCTGCACAAACAGGAACGGGTTGGCACCAGTCCCTCCATTGCAGCTTCCCTGTGGAATAAAGGTCCCACAGAGCGCTTTCGGGACTTGGAAATTGTGGTACTAAGGAGTTGCGTTAAAAAGGGTTCACCTCAGTCATCTAGAGGATCGTTTTTGGGAAAGGATATGGCAGTAGCACGGAGTGGATCCTCCGATCCCGGGTGAGAGGGCTGCCCCCACCTTGCCGCAGGGGATCTGCATTCGGATGCTGCTCCTCTGCCACCTCGCAGGCAGGGCGGGAAGGACCCTTGCGGCTGCTTCTCTGAGGGTGTACACACAACACCGGAGCAGGGGCAGAGAAGACGTTCTGGGGGTCAGGGAGGGGAGGGAAGGGAAGGGAAAGAGGCAGGGGCCGCCAGCTGCAATGTGACCCCCAGGCTCCAGGCTTCTTCCTCCCCTGCCCAAAGGGCCACATTAAGCAGCCTAAATCAGGCAGGGTTGGAGACGTGGAAAGACAAGGATCACCTTGATCCCAGAGTGCAGGACACGGAACAGTCAGTTCAAGTTGTGACAACCCAGGTTCAGGCTGGACACCAGGAAGAGCTTCCCCACTGTCAGAGCAACACGGCAGTGGGATCAGCTGCCTGGAGAGGTGGGGGCTCTCCCACCCTGGAGACATTCAAGGGGAAACTGGGCAGCCACGTGGGTGGGGTGGGGTGACTTGGTGTCCTGCAGCAGCAGGGGGTGGACTGGATGGCCTTCGCGGCCCCTTCCAGCTCGACCATTCTGTGGCCTGCCTGGCCCTGCCACCCTTTGCGCAATGCACCGAATCCTCACTGGCTTGCACCCAAAATGAAGGAAGCACCCGCTGCCCTTGCAGGCCACACGCCCTGCCTGCGGCTCGCTGCGGTCCAGGAGGGAGTGCCGCTCACCTCGCAGCCCCTGCCCTGGACCAGCGTGTCTGCTCGGGGGCTGCTCGCCGCTCACCCCACAGCCCCTGCCCTGGACCAGCGTGTCTGCTCGGGGGCTGCTCGCCGCTCACCCCACAGCCCCTGCCCTGGACCTGCGTGTCCTCTCGGGCTGCTTGCAGGACCGTGCGCTGCTCCGGGTGCGACGGCACCTGACCGCTCTCCTTGCATCTCCTCCTAGGCTGGGCAGCAGCGCTGGTGGGAACAGGAGATCGCTGTGAACGGGAAGATCCAGAAGGGAGAATTAATCACCTACAACCTGACGGAGCTGATCAAGCCCGAGGCTTACGAAGTCCGCCTGACGCCAGTCACCATATTTGGGGACGGAGATTCAACCATCCGGGTCATCAAGTACAGCGGTAAGTGGGGACAGCCCTCCGGGTGGGATGGAGTGACTGGGCGGGGGGCTGGACTGGATGGCCTCCTGGCCCCTTCCAGCTCTGCTATTCGGTGGTTCCATGGTAAGGCCTCTGCCAGGGAAAGTCCGCTGCGGGGTTGGGCACCCCATGGCCCTCCAAATGCTTCTGCCCATGACTGCATCACTCGCAGACCGCAGGAAGTGTAGCCCCAAACAGCCGGAGCACCACACGTCAGCCACCCCAGGGTTGCTGGACTCCGAGCTCTGGAGCGGTTGGCTTCCAGCTCTGAAGGCCACTGAAGCCACGTGGCGCTGGGCCAGGCGGGGGTTGGGAGGGTCTGGCATCTTCACTGCCACGGGCTCTCGTCAGATGACGTGCCCACACGATTCCTTACCAAATGCACCAGCGAGAGAAGGGCAGGCCTGGGAGGCGAATGGAGGGCCCAGCGGAACGATCCGTGGGCGACGTGGCGGGAGGACAGGACTCCCGAAGCCCCTGCAGACGTAGGCTGCGAGGACCCCCGTCTCCCACGAACGTGCTTTCGTGCACATTTAGAGGCCGGCCAGCAAGCGGAGGGCAAAGCTGTGTCATCGGGGCAGCTGCTTTGAGGAGGAGCCACAAAACGTGGGGAGACACACTTGCTGGGCACCCGGAGAAGCGCCGGAAGGGAGGCAGAAGTGACCACTGGCAGTGCAGCCGTTAATAGGGAAAGGGCGCCAGTGCCACGTGGGGCGGGGGCGGGAGTGTCCAGCCCCACTTCTGCTGCGCTCCCTTGGTTCGCCGTTTTGTTTTATGCTTTTTTGGGGTGCTGCTGAAAGGCGCAAAGGGGTTCCTCTTCGCCTCACTGTCCCTCCCCCCGCTCTTTCACGTCTCCGTGCAAATTGGCCTGCAGCTCCTCGGCTTCCCTGTGTCACCTGCTCTGTTCTAGCGCTTCCACAGACGGCAGGTGCGTGCAGGGAAGCAAGCAGCCCACAGAGACCGGAGAAAGTTTTGCAAGCACGAATTCGAGATTCCTCCGGTCCCACCTGCACGAGTGACGCTTTGCACTGATGGCGAACCCAGCCGAATTTGTGCCGAATTTCCAGAATCCACCGGGGAAAAGAACCCGCTACAGGGCGCTGCTGCTTACCAGGGGGATGCAGAGTTGCCTCGGGCTGCAAGGGGATGGGGGGCGGGCAGTGCCGCTTCGGGCCCCCCCTCCTTGCCTTCGGACCTGCCTGGCTGATCAGTGGCCAGTGACCCAAACACCGGTCGCGTTCCACCACCACCTCTTCCAAAGGAAAGCCCTGTGGGGGCTGCGGGAGGCCCCCCGGGCACGGCCCCGGCAGCCCCGTAACCTCAGCAGCTGGAGGCGGCTGGCAGCGCCCTGGCCCCGGCCCCGACCTTGCCAGCTCTGCGCAGCCCGGGGCGTGCAAAGCCTTCGCCAGCCGGGGGTGCAAAGGAGCTGAGCAGCCACTCGCACTCCTGCCCTGGCGATCCGTTGACTTGGGACAAACCCTGGCAGGAAGCAGCCGCTTCTTCAAAGGCCAGGGATGACGCGGAAGGCAGTCGATTCCTCCCTGCTGCACCCGGCTTCCTCTCTGGGGCTCCCCCAGCCCCACTGCCGGGGGGGAGCCCCCCTGAAGGCCATGGCTTGCTCCCGAGTAAGCACTCTGCAGATTGCCGGGGCCAGGGCCCGCTGCTCAGCCCACTGGGCGGTGGTCCAGCCAGGGGGCCCCCGGAGCAGCATGCGGGGCCCCCCGGGGAGCAAAAGCTCCGCCTGCCATGCATGTGAAGGGGACCCCCCCCCCCGCTGGCGCCAGTGTGGCGTCTCTCCGGCTGCCGCCACCCCGGACAAAAGTGGGCAGGCAGCCGGGGTGCTTTCGGGGAATGAGTCACCTCCGTTCGGGTGACGCGCCACGCACACCATTCCGGGTCTGTTGAGAGCACGGGCGCTCTGATCCATCGGTCTGTGGCCGCGGGCCGAGAAGGGGCGGCCGGCCGGGGCGAGAGCACGGCGCCTCGGAGCAGCAAGCGGGCTGCGAAGGCCGGGCGGCTCTGGCCTTCCCTCCGGGCCCGGCACGGCGAGCGCTTGTGCCGGTGGCTGCGGCTGCTGAGCCACGGCTGTGAAGGAACCTGCTTGCCGGGGACCCTCTCCCGCCCTCTCTCTGGCGGCTCGCAGCCGGGAGGGAGACAGTGCAGCTCATGCAAGGAATATTCTGGACGAGCAGGCGGATTCCCCGGACCGAAGCGATTTCTCCCTGCCTCTGCTGTCCAGATGGGCACCGTGCAGGGGCACCAGGACTCTGCGGGCACGCGGCCCGTCCTCAGTTCCCTCGGCATTCGCGGTGGCGGCACACCTGGGCGAACGGGGCAGTGACCGACCACGACGAATCTACAACTTCCCCTCCTTTGGTCTGCACACATTTCCTAAATTTGCACGCATTTTCTAAATTTCTCGCATAGGCTGAAGTATTCTGGCTTTGCTTGCTTCATATGGAAGCATGCATCCAGCGGAGCCAGAAGGGGCCAGAAGGCCGCTGGGCTTCTTTTGCTGTTGGCTCCTGCTGAGCTCTTCCTTTTGATGGGGAGCAGCCTGGATTAGCTCCAACGTTATGGCGCCGTTAGTTGCGAAGATTCGTCCTGCTCTGCTGGGAAGGCGGCCCGGCAGGCAGGCCAGGCTCCAGCCTCGCTCAGGAGATCAGCGGAGAAAGAACGGCTCCGCTGGGGCTTGCAGCTCTCGGGCGACTTTTGCTCTGCTGTCGGCCGGGCCGCTTGCACGGAATTGCGCAAACGTGTTTGTGTGCACCAAGCAAATTCGCAGCTGCACTCATCTGCGTTCCCCCAGATGTGCAGAAGGCTTGCGGGGGCTGCCCTGCTGAGCTGCGGCTTTCCCCGCCCCCCTTCTGCCACCTCCCTGCAACATCGAAACCGCCAGCCACGGCGGAGCGGGCGCCTGCTCTTCGCGCTCCCCGGGAGCTGCCGCTTGCTTGCTGGCCCGTCCTTTCGGCTGTGGCCGCGGTGCGGGGAGCAGCTTGCACACCGCGGCTTTCAGCGTTCGCCATGGATGACGGTTCCTCCAAAGTCCCAGCGTTCAGTGACGAAAGCGGCTGTCACTCTCCACTGCTCCCCTCAATTCGGGTTCATTTGGAGTCGCAAGAATGCCAAAAATGAGCACTTTCCAGCAAATGAGAAGTAGTTGTGCTAGCAAACACAAAGAGAGCGATCTTGGCTTGCTGACTACAATTTCCCATGGAAAATCTTGTAGGAAGCAAATCATGGATTCTTCTCCGCAGATGAAGGGATGTTTAAAGAAATGGAGTTGTCCCAGATCGCCGAGAGGGATGCCTCCGAAGCTGCTCTGGGGAAGGTGGGCTTGGACCTCAGTGGGCGGCCGCTGAGCTGCATCTTCACGCAGTGGGACTTAAACGGCATCTGGCAATGCAGGGAAAGGGAGCCAGCAGCCCGGATCGGGGCTCACACACACAAGACCCACAGCCACCCGAGAGCCCTTCCCCAGCAGAGCCCCGTGGAAAAACGCGCTCCCAGAAGCCCGGGTGGCGCCAGGGTGGGCCACGTGGATTTCACGGTGCCCCTTGCTGCTCGGGCAGAGTTCGGACAGCAAGACTTGTGTCCACATCCTGGCTCACTCCTGCAAAACCTCCTCGGAAGCATTTCTATAAAGTGCCAGTGTATATTTCTAAAACTAAGCCAGAAAGGACTTTATCTTAAGGAGAGCTCTTTGAGCCCTGGTTTAGGTTTCAATCATGGCTGTTTTTGATACCCCACTCATTTTCTCTGCCCCCCCCTTTTGCCACCTGCGGGATTTTTCTCAACTCCCCCCTTCTGCTAACACCGCAATCCCCCCAGCCCTGCTGAATGTCACGTCCTGCGCATGGTGGGCCCGTGTTGGCCACCGAAGCTCCCACGTCCTCCTAACAAGCCCGTCCCTGCTATTATACTGGTATCACTGGGGCTGCATCGAAGCCACGGGGGTCCACCCCTCCTCAGTTTGCAGGCCTCCTCGCGGGCTGGGCCTGGCCTTCGGAAGCGAGCCGAGCTGAGCGGGAGGCCGTGGACACGTGTGGAACGACGGCCGTGAAAGCAACCCCCTTCCTCAGTTCCACACGTGCGCAAGAGGCTGCTGAGCCCCTGCCTGGGAAGCCGCCCTCGTGGCCCCAAGAAGGAGGGCGGGGTGGGAAGGGGTGCCTGAAGCCCTCCAGTCCAACCCCCTGCTTGGTGCAGGACTCCGGGCCCAAGCATCCCCTAGTTACCGCTCCAGCGTGGCTGTCCCCGAGCCTGCAGAAGCCATCTCAGCCCGGCCTCTCCCGCAGGGTTGTTGTGAGGGGGAAACAGAATGAGTTCTTTCCCTCAAGGGGAGGAAGCACTGGAATTAAATGGCAGGCAATGCCTTGATGTGTTTTATTGCTAAGGGACACTGTGGGAAGATTTCTGAGAGGCAATGAAGAAATATTTGGAATGAAATAAATAAGAAAAACGAAATCAGGTTGTGCCTGCTGGGTTATCAGCAACTCCCCCTCAGAGAGTGGCTAACAGCATTTCCAAAAATGAATTTTTGCTCTATGTAAACAAGCGCAACCCTTGAAAGCCTTGGGCCAGAGGGCCGCCTGAGTGGATCTCGGGGGCATTTGGCATGTCGTGGATGAAATCCAGATATTAGAAAAATTAGTATCAAATTCATCACCGCTATGTGCAGAAAAGTCTACTCATTACGTGTTCCGATCTCTCTTTACCTTCCAGCCCCGATGAACCCGCACCTGCGTAAGTATTTGAACAGCTCTGCTTCCTCATTAATTTGGATTAAAGGCTCTTATTAACACAGTGTGGGAAACATGCACGTCAGAGGCAGAACGAGACGGTGGTTTATCCACTGGAGACCTGGAACGACGACAGCGAGAGGAAAGGCCTGAGAAACGCACCGTGCTAAGCGCCCGGCCGTCATGGAGGGTGCCCACCCGGGGTGGCTCTTGCTTCAGCCGAGGAGCCGGAAAGCTCTCTGGCCAGAGTCCCTTTTGAGTGGGGAAGGCAAATGCACCCACCCCCGTGCCCCAAGCCATGCATTGCATCCCGGCCCATGGGGTGGGGGGAGAGAAAGAGCCCCCAGGTGGGCATGTCGTGGGCAGAGCCGGCTGGAGCCGGGGGTCAGACTAGATGGCCCGGGAGGCCCCTTCTGACTCGCTCTGTGTCTGTGTTTCTAGTTCCTGGTGTCCATTCCACCTCATGGTTCTTCAAGCAAGGCTGTATTCTATCCCTTTCCCATTTTTTATTTGCAGAAAAAGACATGTGCATTTCCTTCCACACAAAATACTGTATGCATTTTGTACATGTTTCCCCTAATATATACTTTTAAGTCACTTTCTTGGTATAAACCTTGGTGAACGCAGTTTTCCCCGATGTTTGCATTTTTGCATGCAATTTCTATTCATGGGTGCATTCTCCCCTGCATTTGTGACTAAATGGCTGCATTGCAAAACCCGAACATGAAGGGGAAAGGCATCTTCCACTGTATAGAGATGAAACGAATAAATTCTGGCCTGCACATTAGTTCCTGAAGTGCACCTTGTATTAAAATGCGAATGACGCACATTTCTTCCCCTTCACTTTGTTGGTTCAAAGTTGTGGGACCCGTGGCCGATGCACAGCTTGGAGATGGCCTGGTTGCAGGGGCCAAAGCATGCGAAATAGATACTCCTGCAAGGAGGCACAGATTTTGGCCTTCCGGGCTACAGGCTCGGTGGCGCCTTGCCCCATCTCCTTGAATTCCTGCTATTCCACCAGCCTAGCAGTTCCCTACAGTTCTGCTCAGGAAGTGTGCAGGGAGGCGGGCTCCACGCCTGGAAGTCATAGAAACATAGAGCGAGTCAGAAAGGGTCTCCCGGGCCATCTAGTCTGACCTCCGGCTCCGCTCACGACACGCCCGCCATGTGGACGTCCAGCCTGTCCCTTTGTTCTTCTCTGCTTTTAGGACCACGGCAGGTCGAAGTTGCTCTTGCCCCTTGTGGATCGGGCCTTTGGCCTGGACCTGGCCAGGAATGCTGCACAAGGCCCTTTCCCGACCTCCTTTGCCCACAAGCGGATGAGGAATTCCGCGCCCTGGGCCCTGAGACCCTCCCTGCCCCCCCCCCCCCCCCCCCCCCCCCAGCTCCAGTGCTGCTCCATGAGCTGGCGCTGAGGCACAAAGGCAGAACCAGCGGCCCTGGGGCGGGTCAGTCCCAAGCCGCCTCTTCCCCAGTTCCCAAGGCGACAGGGATTCCTTCCCTGACCAGTGCTGGCTGCTGAGGGGTCGTCTGGATGCACCCGGGTGAGAACAAAAGCAACCGGACACCCTCCAGCTGGGAAGAGCGGCACACGCCCTCAGACCCACTCGGTGCAGGAATCCCGTGTCGGGCCCCCCGCAGAGATGCATCCAGTCCCACTGAACTCCTCCAAGGACAGGGTACGGGGCGGCCAGCTGCTTGGGCAGTTGATTATTGATCAAGTATTTGTCTAATCTCTGTCCCATGTTTCCACCAAAGCTGGTGCTTCAGACAGATAAGAATACTAAAACTAAGATCAAAACTTAATTCAGCCATCTTAAAAGCGGATAAATTGAAAGCACAGTGAAAAGTCATGAAGGCAGGCAGGCAGGCCCTTCAATTTAAAATGAGAATATGCCAGGGCCCGATCCCATGGGGACTTGGAAGATTATGGGCAGCCGATGCGGCGGGGGTGGTCATGGGGGCTACAGTCGCTTCCGTGCCCCTCCCCTCCCGCAGAGCAACAGAGTGGCCGATTCGGGGCGGGAAGGGAGAGAGCGTGGCACTGCCAGACCACCGACCCTGGCGGCTCTGCCACACACCCCTCTCCCCAGCTGGGCACCCCCTAAACTGAAGCCGCTCCTATGAACCTGGAGGAGCAGTCGGAGCTGCTCTTCCCCCGCAGCTGCTGGGGGAAGGTGCCGGCACAGAGCTCTCCCGCCCCAGGGCTGCCACTCTTGGAAAAGATCCTGTGCCCCCCAGACAGTTCCTTGCAGCCAAAGGATCGCTTTGGCGGTGTGCTTTTAGGCCTGCACACTGTGGCCGGCTTTGATTTGGGACCATGCTTCTGCTTTGAATGGTTGCACCTGGGGACTATAAATCTATCTTGCAAACCACTCAGAGAAGCTCTTCTCTGGGCGGTATAGAAATACAGGGGATGGAGGAGTGGATAAAGCCGTGCCCCCCGGCCACTGCCGACCTGGGAGTCCAGATCAATTTGAATCTCGGAGAACACGGATCTGCAGCTGGGAGTCTGAGGGGCGCAGCGCCCCCAGCCCGGGCCGGGCCCTCGTTCCCGGCCAACTTGAAATGTGCCAGTGCACTGGCGCCCGGCTGCAGCGATTGCTCACGTGCGCGTGGTGTCGATCTGTTGGCAGGAGAGTTCCACTGCGGCTTTGAAGATGGCAACATCTGCCTGTTCACCCAGGATGAGAAGGACAACTTCGACTGGACGAGGCAGAACATCGTCCTCCGAGATACGAAGTACACACCCAACACGGGGCCCAGTGCCGACCGGTCGGGCTCCAAGGAAGGTACGGGTGTCCCTCAGCTGGCCCTTGCAGCGCCGGGCGGGAGGGCTGCGGGCCATGGCAGCATTCACGCGACCGGATGCCCAGGCCCCTTGCCCCTGTCTCAGAGGCCTGGCCCAGGCAGGGCCAGGCGGCTCCGCTTAGTTTTATTTCCCCCGTTTCAGTGGCACGTGGGACTCCCATCGTCGGGTTTAGGAAACTCGTGTGCGAGCTTGTTGGGAAGCATTAGGCGTGCGATGCCCGTGGCGTCCGGAAGCAGCGACTGGCCCCGTGCGAGGAGCAGTCGGAAGCAGCGGGTCCCGTTCTGAGCGAGGACCAGGCAGCCTCCTGGCCGGGCCTTCCTGACGCTTTTGACCTTGGCTTCCGGCATTTCTGCCTTGCTGGCTGGGGCTGATGGGGCCCCAGTCCAAGACGCCCGGGAGAGGCCCAGCCGGGGAGTCCCCTGTGGAACCCTCGTGGGGGTGAAGCGACTGGTCCTGGCGGTCGACAGCAGGGAGGCCGAAGCACTTCGGGCGCTCGGCTTCGGCGGCCCTGGCGACAGCCTCTGTCGGCGAGGCCACGATCCGTGGCAGCAGATCCTCCAGGCGCTGCCCCCCGTGCGCAGGTGCCGGCACTCGCACCTTCCAGGTGCAGGAGGCTGCAGGCAGCCGGCCGGGCGAGGGACACCCGACAGCGAGGCTGGCCCCATGCGCCCCTTGCCCTCGAGAGCATTGCTCCGCCAGGGCTTCCCCCTCCTCTTTGGAAGGCCAACCAGGGCTGGGCACAAGTTGGGCGCCTCCCCCTCCCCTCTGCCCCCCAGCACCTGTCCCAGCCGTGTGGGGTTGTTTGCCACGAGGCGCGGACCTGGCTGGTGCCTCCGGGCCGTGGGGCAGCGTCCGTGGCCAGCCGGGTCCGACCGAGCTCTGAGGGGGCATTTCAGCCGTTTGGGAGTGGGAAGGGCTGCACAGGGCTGGCACGCCGCCCCCGCTGGGCCAGGACAGAGGGCTGGGCCCGCCCGGGGAACCCAGGAGGCGCAGATCCGGCTGCCAGCCCCGATGTCCTGCCCCCTTCCTGGAAATAGAGTCTGGGGCTACCGATTGGTGTGGGGGAGGCATCCGCCTCCTCTTGCAGCATGGAGGGGAACCGGGGTGCAGCTTTCGGCCTTGCATCGGAAGCATCGGGGTACGCCGGTCTTCCTCAGGACCGATGAAACCCCGCACCCACCCCTCCAGGGGCCGTCCCCCCTTCCTCCAAAGGAGCCTGAAGAAGGCGTTTGGGGACATTTGTGGGAGTCAAGGGCAGAGGTCAAGCGGCCTTCAGGTGGGGCGCCAGTTACAGGGCAGTGTCCCCCGGCCTCAGTCCGAGGATGCTGCCGCTTCGGCAGATGCCGCTCCTTACGGCTCCCCTTCATCCGTCTTTCTCCTCCCAGGGTTCTTCATGTACATCGAGGCGTCCAGCCCCCGCAAGGAAGGCGACAAGGCCCGGCTTATCAGCCCCGTCTTCAGCATCCCCCCCAAAAACCCCTACGGCGCCACCAGCACCGCGTACTGCTTCAGCTTCTACTACAACATGTATGGGCAGCACATCGGTGGGTAGCGTCCAGCGGCGGCCTCGCTCCCCCGGCGCCGCGTGTGCCCACCGCTCGGTAGCTAGACGGATTTCTGCACGACGAACAGCGGAAGTAAAAATGAAAGCCGTGCGCACAGCGCAGGGCACCGCTAAGGCTGCGAGCCAGGAGGGCCTCCTGGAGCAAGGGCACTTGCCGCGGGGGCCGAGAACGGCGTGGCGGCGCGGCCCACCCGGCCCCCAGAGCAGGCAGTTCTGCAGGAGCGGAGCCGCCACTAGGCAGGCCCTGCGCCGGGCCAGGTCTGTGCGCAGCTACCCGGAGCGTGTGAGCTCAGCGGCCAGGCCAGCGGCCGAGCGGGAAGGTGCTTGCCCTGTTCCCTGATCCCAAGCTGTTCAAGGCTTTGTACGCCGGTTCCAGAACCGGAGACCCGGCCCAGTGGCAAATGGGCCATCAGAGCAGTTCCTTCAGCAAGGAAGCGGCCTGCAGAGAAGGGCCAGGGCAGCCTCGGTGTCCTTTCCAGCACGTTTATGAGAGTAGCTTATACGCCGTTTCCAGGTGCCAGGAAGTGTCCAGCGGGCTGTCACTGGTTTTGTGTCTACAGACCCCCCCACCCCCACCCCCTTGGCATAGAACGGGGTCCCAGCCTGGTGCCAGGCTGGCCTTCATTTGGAGCCTGCTCCGTAATCGGGGGCCACCCCTGAGAAGGCCGCCCTCATTGCCAGGGCTGGCCCTTGGCGGAAGGCCTCGGCTGCTCCCTCGGAGGTTGGCGGGGCTGGTCAGCGTGCAGGCAGGCGCTGCAGGCCCAGGCCAGAGGAGGTGTGACCAGTTCAGCCCTCCGAGCGGGGGGCCGTTGCAACTGTTCAGCTGTGCTGGATGCACGTGGATTCGTGGGGCCCCGCTGGCCACCGGACCCCACAGTGCGCGAGAGGAGAAGGAGGAGGAAGTGAGGAGCCTCCTGCATGGGGAGACTCCTTGCACCTCGGCCAAGCACCTCGCAGGGCACCTCACCGTTGCACCCGAAGGGACGCGGCCCTGCTGAGGATCAGGGAGCACAGGACAGACACCAGCGCATGTCCGTGGCCATGTGAGTGAAGCCAGTGTGGCTTGCATGAAGCCCCTTCCCCAAGACCAAGTCCTCCACCTGAGAACAAGAAACCAAAGGCATCAATACAGGCAGGGGGATACGTAACTCAACAGAAGTGAAAATGAAAAGATCTCGGAGTGATTGTGGACAACAGGCTAAGCATGAGCCAACAATGTCATGCAGCTGCCAGAAGGGCAAATGCTACTTTGGGGTGCATTGACAGAAGCATCACTTCCCATTCACAAGAAATGGTAGTTCCTCTATACTTCTCCCTAGCCAGACCCCACCTGGAATCCTGTGTCCAGCTCTGGCACCAAGATTTAAGAGCGATGCGGGTAAATTAGAAAGGGTCCAGCGGAGGGCATCCTAAATGATCCAGGGTTTGGCAACCAAAGTGATCCAGGGTTTGGAAACGCTGCCCTTTGAGGAGAAACAGAACTGGGCATGTTCAGCCTCAAGAAGAGAAGACTGAGGGGGGACATGAGATCTCTCCATAAGTCCCTCAAAGGCAGTCGCAAAGAGGGAGGTCAAGATCTCTCCTTGCTGATGCCAGAGTGCAGGACACGGAGTAATCAGTTCTAGTTGCAACAACCCAGATTCAGGCTGGACATCAGGAAGAGCTTCCCCACGGTCAGAGCAACACGGCAGTGGGACCAGCTGCCTGGAGGGGTGGGGGCCTCCCCCACACTGGGGGCATTTAAGGGGAAGCTGGGCAGCCCTCTGAGCGGGGTGGTGTAACGTCGTGTCCTCCACGATGCCTTCACGGCCCCTTCCAGCTCTACTGTTCTCTGATTCTGTGAGGCACCGGGCAGGGGAGAAGGCTCTGGGGGCCCCGGTGGGTCGCTGTTGCCCCAGGCTCGGAGGCAGCTCTCCCCATGCACCGGGGCCTGGGACCCATCTGGGCTCTCTGCATGGCACTGTCGTGGTGCAGAGATCCGTGTGGCCTGGAGAGGTGGTGCTGGGGCCGCAGAGGCGCAGGGCAGGCCGTGTGGTGAGTGGGGGAGGGAGCGCTGCCCACACAGTCTGGACCTGGCCCCCCGTCGTGCAGAGTGTCTCCATCTCATGATCAGGGGGTGTGTTGTTTCTCCGGCACTCAAAATCAGCGCCATAAACTAGGCAGCAGAAGGCCAGCTCTGTCCACCAGCCGCTCCTCCAGCAGGGCCCCAAGCGGAAGGAACCCAAAGGCTGTGGGGCTGGGGGCCCCATGCTGCACCTTGGGGGCCACGCCTGTGCCTGTTCAGACAGAAAAGGCCCCGCAGCTCCCAGCTGCGCCCAGAGAACCGTGCTTGGGCGGAGAAGTCCCCTCCCACGCGCGGTGGAGGGCTCCGTGCGGCGCCGCTTGCGCCCGCCTTGCCGCAGCCTCCCCGACACGCTCGCGTGTCCACGCCTTCTCTTGCAGGGACGCTCAACGTGTACCTGCGGCTGAAGAGCCAGGCCGCCCTCGAAAGCCCCTTCTGGTCCTCCAGCGGCAACAAAGGGCAGCACTGGTCCCAGGCCCGGATCAACATCCACCCCAACACCTCGTTCCAGGTAAGGCTGGGGGCGCACCTTGCGGGGGAGGAGGCTGCTGGCGGCCACGGCCTCTCGGCCGCTCGGGCTTGGCTGCTTCTTCCGGAAGCTCACCTTTCGCGTCCTCCGCCTGAGCGATTTCCGTGGGATTTATAAAACACAAACAAAGCCGATATAAGATGCAATGGCATGATCGTCACTGCAGACTTTTTGCAAGGAAGGCTCCACCTTCAGCAAATGCAGACAAAGCCTTCGCCCCTTTAAATATACGGAGCCCAGGTGAGTTTGTCTCTGTAAAAAAGGGGCGTGTTTTCCTTTCAGGAAAGAAAGGGGAACAATATTGGCGCCTGCTCTAACAAGTGGGGCTACAGAGTTTTCCCCACAGGAATTCCCGATGCTGCAGGGTTCCTTCCAAGAGCATGGATCCCAGCGCTGCTCCGTGGCACAGGGCTGGGATGGAGGGGCCCCTTTTTCTCCTTCCATCCTCCCTCCCTTCCGTCCTTCCTTCCTTCCTTAAAAGCTTTTATAGGCCCTCTACTACAAGTGTCTCGCGACTGCTTACAAGGAAGCATTTTCTCTTTTTTGCAAGCACGGCCTTGCTGCTTCTTTCGTGCCATGGGCAGCACAAACGAAGCCCCACGCGCGTGCCCCAGCTTCTAGTGCCACCTTGCAGAATGTGGTCACGAGTCAGAGGAGCTGCCCCCAGGTTAAACTGATAGCATGAGAGTAAGTTATCGCTTCTCACGGTCCAGGGAAGCACGTGGCGGAGTCCCACAAGCCGCTGCACAGGGACCAGGGCTGCTTGATCAGTTCAGAAAGATCTGGAATTAGGACTGAGTTGGGAGGTGGCCATGTTTGAAATTATTTAGGGGCGTTGGGGCAAAGGGGCCCGGGCAGTGCCCCAAAAGGAGGCCCCCGGGCCGCGGGAAGGCCCCTCGAAGAGGCACGTGTGGCCAGCAAAAGCGAGCCTTGAGTGGGCGAAGGCAGCCCCTCTTCACGCAGGCACAGAGAGGGGCTGAGCCAGCAGAGGCCCCAGGAGCCAAGAATCGGCTCTGGTGGGTGGTTCTAGGAAGGCGCTGGCCCGGTGCGTGGCTGCGGTGAAAAACCCCATGCTTGGCGTAAGTAGAAGCAGCGCCAGGAATAAAACAGCTATTATCAAACTCCCTCGCAGAAATCCTTGGTGTGAGCACACGAGGAATATTGTCTCCAGTCGTGGCCGCTGTGATGGAAAGGACTCGCTGCAGCTGGAGCAGGTGCAGAGCGGGCGGCTAAAATGGCCCGAGGCTGAGCAGCTCCCCCGGGAGGGAGGGTGACCCCGGGGGTTGACGTCCGTAGGAAAAGGGCAAGCGGGGAGACGAGGCAGGGCTGTCCGGAGTTACCCATGCGGCCAAAGAGGCCCCTTCGGAGCGGGCTGCATCCAGAAGGCTTCCCCGCCCCTGAGCCAGGCTCCTGCCCCCACAGCGGAATGGCCGTCGGGAGGAAGCCGCTCGGACCGTGGGGACGCGCGTCCCCTGCACACCTTCGCGTGGCTTTGGAGCCTCTTCCCCGCCGCTGCTGCTCTGCGGGGGCCCCACCAGCTCGCCCGTCGCCCCTGCAGCCCAAAGGCAGCAACATTCCGGCAAGCCCACCCGCGGCTTGTGGCGGGAGGTCTGTGCGTGTCCTGCCAAGAGGGGGAGCGCTGTGTGAGGGTCCGGTTTGGGGGGGATCCACTAGCACCTGCTCTCCGGCCCGTGTTCCCTGGCCAACACTGGGCTCCCACCGAGGCCTTGCAGGGCCTCTGGTGGGAAGCGAGTCAGCTGCCGCCCAGGTGTGGCTGGACTGGGCGCCTGCCGCCTGCGCGGCCCCCACTCCGGCAGTGCTCTGCTTCCTCACGTGGGGCTTGGGGGGGCGCACCCCTCGTGAGAGGGCCCGGGACCAGGCCGGGCCCCGCTGGCGCTCCGGGGCCCCTTTGCGGCCCTGCCCTCGGCTCAGTCCGCTTCCCAGCTGAGGCTGAGCACAGGAGAGACGGGCCCCAGGCCTCCCCGAAGGCAGCGGCTGCCGGAGGTCTCGGAGCGGCATGAAGAGGGAACACGGGGCCCGTTGGGGTCACGTCCCGCGGAATGCAGCCCACGACCTCGGCCATCTCCACCTCCTCCCGTGACCATGTGCCCCTGTCAGGATGCGTCCGGGAGCTCCCTTGCTCTTGCACAGGCCCCCCCCCCCCCGAAAGCCAGATGGGGCTCCTCATCCCTCCCTATCGGGAAGAAGCTGCCGCGGTATTTGCTGCAGCACCGACACCACAGTCGACCAGCCCAAGTTGTTGCTTTGCTCCCGGGGCTGCTTGCTGCCCCCCCGCCCACCCCACCTTCTTTCCAGGCCCCAAGCAAATTTAGAGCCCTGGAAACACCAAAAAAAGTGCAAAATAAATGTCAGCTCAGCTGGGACTTTAAATCACTTCTTAGCAGCTCCAGCTCCTACCAAAGTCTATTTTGCATTTAAGGGCCTGAAGGGGATGGGACATAAACCTCCCAGTTAATTTTAAGGAGAGTGAATTGAAGTGAATCTCCGTCTGCAGTAAAAGCGATCAGCCTGACACAGGAATTAAAGCCGTTTTATAGATGAATTCATACAGAGAAGTGCATCCTGGACTCGTTTTATGCTTTCCTTGCCCGCATATCATCCAGCGAGGAGTTTTCATCTGCAGAGAGGATGGTGCTTTACAGCCCTCCCTGATCCGAAATGGGCCGCAAGAGCAGGGAAACGTTCGGGCAAGAGCGTCTCCTGCGCAGCCTATTTAGCCCTTCCAAAGCACCGCTGGGGCACCTTCCTGCGGGGGCAACGGTCTGCTCACCTGGCCGGCCGTCTAAGGGCGGTGTTGCTTTCCGCGTGCTGGTGGGAGAGTCGGGCTGCCGCCAGAAGCTCCCGGTGCTCCCCCAGAATAGCTCCCGTCACGGAGGCCAAAGACTGCTTGGCCTGGCCCCCTTTCAGGCCCGGCCCCCTGAATCCCACAGCCACGCAGAGTGTGTGGGCGCGACTCTCCTCTCGCTCCCCGTTCTCATCGCTGCCCCCAGTCCAGGTGGGGATGAGGGCTGTGGCGGCCCTTCCCGGAGCCCGACCCTCTCGGGCTCACCGCCTCCCCCTCGCGCTCGGCCCTCGCCTGGGAAGCCGCCTGGGGCTGTTCCCCTCCCCTCCTTCTCCCTCACCGTGCGGAAGCCCCGGCACCTCTGTCCATTAAGGCAGGCCCTCTACAAGCTGCCAGTTGCTCTTGGCTCGATCGCGCTGAGGCAGAACGGAGAGAGCTGTGCAGACCGAGCCGTGCCAACCGGCAAAGGCCTGTCCGGGGAAGCGGCATTGGCTCAGGGACGCGGGGACGCCCAGCCAGCCCTTCCACCGGGGCCCGGAGATCGGGCCTGGCTCAGCCCAAAGCCCTGCCAGGTGCTCCACAGGGGAGGCGGCTGAATTGTGCTTCAGGAGATGCTAAAGAAAGAGACCCAGGAGCCCAGCGATGGCGCTGAGCCTCCGGGGTCTGCCGTGCGAATCGGCCCCTCATCAAAGTGGGCTCTGCTTTGGATGGCAAGCCAAGGCGGGAAGAAGGCCAACGTCTGCTGCGTGCGGAGCGGGCGGGGGAGTCCTCTCCTTCGGCTCTGGTCGCCCGGAGCCCTCACTGCGGCGGGGAAGCCCCGGGTGTCCATGGCTCCCGCGTGCCTGGTCGGATTCCCACCAGCCCCGGAGCCTCGCACGCTCTCGAAGGGCAGCGGGTCCTGGGCCCTCCCCCCAGGACACTCACACGGGGCTTCGGGAGGTCCTGCTCCGACGCAGCAGTCGCTGCCAGCCAGTGTCCAGCGTCCTGCCCTGGATGGATGAAGGACCTGACTCCGTAGGAAGCTGCTCTCCCTGTCCTGCCGAGCCCCCTGACTCTGGGGCTTGAGAGAGAGGAGGGACCGAAGAGTGGCGGCCATTGGCCGGGGAGCAGGAGGAGCAGCCGCCCCTCGGTCGCGCTCCAGTCCGGCCCACAAGCTGCTGCTAGCCTTGGCGCCCGGCCTCCAGGGCTGGGCTTCGTGGGCTGCCCTTCCCTCCCAGCATCCTTGGCCTCATGCCGTCAGAAGAGCAGGCCAGCAGGCGGGGACCGGCCAAGTCCTCCCGGCTTTGGCGAGCCGCTGCAGGAGCCCCTTTGCCGAAGAACCGGGCAGAAATGCCCTGGGCAGGGATAGCGGGACCCTGGCCGGCTGTGGACGCGCCCCTCTGCCCTGCCTCCGCTGGCACTGGCGCTCGGAGGACCGTGCCCAGGGGGTGCGAAGGGGGGTGAGGAGGCGGCCGTCCCTGGCGGGCGCCAGGATCCGAGGCCTCTGTCCTGCCGGAGGTGATCCGCGGGGCGGCACGTTTCTGCCCTTGTTCCTGTCCTCTGTTGCTCGTGATGAGAACCTGCCCGGGATCAGGGCCAAGAGCACTCTGCTCTCGAGACCTGCCTGCAGGCTAAGGCGCCGGAAGACCATCCTTTTTGCCCCAGAGGACTTGCTTTGCTGCCCCTGCCGTGGCCTGCAGAACCTCAGCGGCTCCATGGGCTGGACGTGCACATGGGGGGCCTGTCGTGAGCGGAGCCGGCTGGTGCCGGAGGTCAGACTAGATGGCCCTGGGACCCCTTCTGACTGGCTCTGCTTCTCTGTTTCTATGAGCCTTTCTGACTGCCCAGCCATGCCCAGGTTTGTGCCCCGAATGATCCGGTTAGTGGCACGTGGGCCTCCATGGCCTGGGCGGGCAGCTCTCAGTGGGATTAAACGGGGCCTGGTGATGCCACCATGCCTGAATCTGCCTGCTCGGACCAAACCACCCCCGTTTCCGTTTGGTTAACTCTTCCTCACAACAGAGCCATTGTAACGTGGGAGACCCCTTGCCTCAGGGAGCAGAAGGTCTCCCGGGAGCCCCACACGTGCGATCCACGCGCGGCCTGGTTCCCTCCATCCCTGAGACGTTCTGCCCGGTTGCTGGAGCATCTGCGCTTCACTCCCCCGCTCAGGCGGCCCATCGCGGAGCCCCGGCAGCACCCACGAGAGGGACCCGCGGGCCCCTGCTTCCTTTCCGCGCCACAGGTGTGGCTGCCTGTGACGGCCAGCCTCCTTCCTGCAGGCTGGGGGGGGGGGGGGGGGGGCCCCCGGGGGCCCCCCCCCCCCCCGGGGGGGGGGGGGGGGGGGGGCAGGCAGCCATGGGGCCCCCAGGCGCCCGTGAGCGCTGAGCAGCAGTCCTGGGCACGGCCATGAAATGGCTGCCCGGAGCGAGCCGGCAAGGGATGCGCGGCTGGATGAGCGAGCCATGAGCTCCGCGGTGCTCCGGATTCCCTCCCGAGGCTCGTCCCGGCGCAAGTCTGTCTCGGCCTGCCGGCTCCTTTTCTTGCTTTTCACACCACAACCAGCCACGGGTTCATGTGCATTCTCCCAAATGCTCACACTCACGGCGCATAGCTCTGCGAAGCAGGCCTCTTTCCCCATTGAGCAAAGGGGGTTTGTGTGCAGCTCTCAAAGCTAGACGTTTTTCGTGTGTATTTTTTAAAATAGATGCATGGTGTCAAATACATTCGGGGGTGTCGGTTTGCAATGCACATCGCAAGCTTGGAAATGGACCCGCTTCGGGGGCACAGGTTGTGTCCAAATCCATGCTCAGTTTGCAGTGGGAACCGTGCAAATCCTGTTTGCAAACCATAATAGCCCCCAGACCCGGGACACCTGCCGGCGTGGCCGGGCACCAGCAGCCCCGAGTGGCCCAGAGGTGCTCAGGGACTTTCAGAGAGCGACCGCGGCCACCCCCTTCCCCACCCTCCCCTCCAGACGTCTGTTAGGAGGAATGGGGTGGATTCCAAGGAAGGCAGCCGTGGGGGTCCACAGGCGGTGCGTTGCCTTCCTGCATTGTGAGGAATAGGACGGGGCTCCAGGAAGGTCCAGAACAGAGCTGCCAGGACGTTACGGGGACCGGCAGGTACTCACATATAATGCTGGTCGTCTATCGGTTGCACTGGCTGCCAGTTGAAGTTCGGACCCAATTTAAGGTGCTGGTGATGATCTAAAAAGCCCTAAATGGTTTAGGACCTGGATACCGGAAGAGCGTCTCCTTCCATATGTGCCTGCCCACCCCTTGAGATCTGGGGCAGAGGCCCTTCTCCAGCAGCTCTCCTTGAAGGAGATGAGCAGGGTGGCTACCCAGAGCAGGGCCTTCTCTGTGGTGGCGCCTCGACTATGGAATGCGCTCCCCAGAGAGATTCGCCTGGTGCCGATGCTTTTTGCTTTTCAGCATCGGGCAAACACTTTTTAATCTTCCCATCATTTTAATTTTTAAATGATTTCAACTGGGGTTTTATTATCTTAGTCGAATGTTGTGTTGCTTTGTTTGTCTTACGCGTTTTCGTCGTAAGCTGTCCCAAGTTGCTAGTGGTGGACGGGTTAGAAAAGCTATTAATTAATTAATTGAACCGCTTTTAATAAATAAATAAATAAATAAATAAATAAATAAGGGCCATGCGGGGTGGGCTTACTGACATGTTCCTCTGGGGAGACGCTGCGTGCCCCCCCCCCCCACGGCCTCTCCAGCCACACAAGCTCAGCTGAGCCAAGTGCCTGCCTCCCCCTTTCCCAGCTTCAGCTTTACGCTCCTGGTTGCTGGGATGGGCCCCCTTTCTCGGGCCCATAAAGCCACTTCTCCCGAAAGCAACCCTTACCTGTTTGTGCAAATGAGCATCCCCCGAACAAGTTCCCAAGCAGCCCGTATGAAGCGGAAGGTTGGGAACTGGTAATTAAAACAATAATGGAGATTGAGGTCGGTGGCACTATAGCCAGGTCCTGGGGGCAACGAGCCCGGCAGCCGTGCAATTCGAACTTTTGGTGCCCGGCTGGGAAGCACTTTCACTGGGAGAGAGGGAAGTCTCCGTGTGTCTGAATCGGCCCGTTTGCACGGGGCTCCTCGGCAAACCCCCAGCGTCCACTTCCTGACTTGTCCGCACGATCCAGGAAAGCAGAAATATCCACAGACTGCAGGGGACGGTTTCGCAGAGCCCGCCAATAAATAAGCTGTGCTTGGTGTCCCTGTGCCGTGCAAGAGATCGTTAGAATCCGGATGCAGCAGATGCCAAATGGAGCGGGTGGGGGGTCTCCAAGCCTGACCATCGACGGATGTGACGCTCAGGGTCGTGCCGCTTCATTTCCCTGCAGGTTGTTTTCGAAGGCATCCGCGGCCGAGGCATCGAAGGTGACATCGCCATTGATGACATATCCATCGTGGAGGGGGAATGCTCGAAATCGGATTATGTAAATAACCGTAAGTGGACCCCCCCCTCGCCCACTGGTCCGTCTCCACGTTCCCAGCAGCAGCCTTGCAGGCTGGCCAGGATTGTCGTCAGACCCCCACCCCTTTGCTTCCGCCCTGCCCCCCCCCCCCCCCTAAAGGCCATCCCTTGCGGAATCGGGGCCGATTTGGCCCCATAACGAGACAAAGCCCAAACTGGAATGGGTCTGCGTAATCCACCCCCCCGGCCCCCAGTACCTGGCAAAGGGGCCCGTGGGACTGGGCTGAAGCTGACACGCCCCCTGGGGTCCAGACTGGGCCCCTTCCACAGCGGTTGTACAGCTGCTTCCTTCAGGACAGCGGGAGCTGCCCTTCCTGCAGAGAGCCCTTTCCATGCTCTGGATGCACCAGCCGTGGCCCCGCGGCCCGTGGCCTGCTTTTCTCAAGCCCACGCCCAAGCCCACAGCCAGCTTTTACCAGCAGCGGAAGCCCGTGGCCATTCCCGCTGCTGCACCCCCAGGCCACAGCCACAGAGGCCGACCCTCCCTTTTGGCCTCGCTTGTCCTTGTGGGGCGCCCCTCTTCATCTGGCCCCTTCCGCTTCAGCGCGGGCCCTGCCTGACTCCCCACTGCCCACACGTGAGAAGAGCGCTGCTCGTTGGGCCGAGACACGGCCCACCTCGCCAAGCATCCCTTTTCCAGAAGAACCAGCAAGGTGCCAGGGGCTTGCCTGGAGCAACAGGCGGATGGGGGACTCGGGAGGCTGACGCGCACGGAGGGCGAGCAACAGCCCCGGCTGCAAAGCCGGCCTGCCGGTCGAGCGAGAGCCCCCCAACGTTCCCCCGAGCCCGGATGGGAAGGCCGGCCAAACCAGCCAGGCCGCTGCCGCCCAGCCCCAACAACAGACGCTGCCCCTGCAGAGCGTGCCGGCTGCCAGAGGGAGAGCTCCGCTGTCCTTGTGCAGCTCCCCTCCCAGGAAACCCCAGCCGGGGTCCTGAGGTGGGGAGCGGTACGGGTTCTGTTTTGCCCTGTCTTGACGGAGAGGACTGTTCCTTCCGGTGAACTCTGCCCCGCAGTCCGAAGCTGTTGGCCCGCTCGGTGAGAGGAGCCGGTGCCACCAACATTTCTGGGCGACTCCGACCCGGAAGCGCTCAGTGCTTTGCCCCACTGGGACAGCTAACTAACCCCGTTTCCCCTCTCTGTTTAGATATACCTTCAGGCGCAGTCCGGACGCTGCCGCATATACGGATTTTCCCAGTTTTCCTCCTTGTGTCTGTCTTAAGTCATCAAAGGTGACCTTATTCTGGCAGAGGCTACCTTCACCGATGTACCACGCACTGGCATGAAGAAGAGAGAACATTTTAAAAAGAAACCAAAACTACCAAAGATTCCTCCACTGACTGACTCAAATATGATTTTTTTTAAGAAAAGAAGACTCAAACGTTAAAAATATATATATATTAAAAAGGAAGCCTTGGGAGTTTATAAAAACTAAAGAAACAAACAAGAGACTGCAGGTGCATGAACGCACCACAGGACACACGTGGAAGAGAAGGAGCGAGACCTTCAGGTGCTTTTGTGGCTAATTAGCGATGAACAAACAGACGGAGAGCACGCACGCACGCACACAGACAGACAGACACGGCATCCGTTGGAAGAGCTCCGTCAAAAGAGTTACAGAATTCCTCGTCAAAGCACAAAGTCATGGCTTGTTTTGTTTCGAATGAATAGTTTGCTTGTTGCCATGGAACCCGAATGGCCTGCCAAAAGAGAGATTCGGTGAGCAAGAGATGGAGAGCGAGGAGAAAGGAGCCCCCAGACCCCACCTCACCGCAAAACAGGGTACAGGAAGAGCCGGGGCGGCGCCCCTTTCCCCTCCCACCCAGGGTTCTCGCATCGCATCGCGTCCCGCCCGCCTCGGGGCCCCTCCGGTCTGCCGCCGCTGCTTCCGGGAGCGGCCCGGCCCCGAGCCTTGAAGACGGTCTGTTTCAGCGCCTCGTGGCAATGCCCGGTCGCCGTCCGCGGCCTCCGCCTCGCATGCCGCACACCCGGGACGTGCGCACCACGCAGAGGACAACAGTGACTCGTCCAGCGTTCGCTTGCCGCCACTTGAACACCCCGAGAGACCCTCCCACGGCCCGTGAGACCCCCGCCCACCCCCTGCCCCACTTCGCCCGCACGCCACCGAGAATCACCCATGCTCAACCAAGTGACGAAACCAAACTACCATCTTTTTTCTAATATGCCATGGAAACCAAGTGCCTTCAGTGATAACAAGCCTGAGAAAATGGGGTGGGGGGACACACGCACACACGCACGCGCGCACGCACGCACACACGCAGAGATACGGATGCTCCTGTGCAGGGCAGCTTGCAGCTGGCGCAGGGTTTGCATGAACTCGTTTTTCTAAAGCAAACTACGGAGCAAAACTGCCAGCTGGGAAAGGAGTTCAGCCCCCCGAAGCGACTTCCAGAGGTGGGTTGACCTGAAGTGTAGCATCGAGCTCTTCTCGGACTGAGACCTTGTGTCGCGGCCCCTTCCCAACATGCGTGGCTTTAGTGGCTTGTTCAGAAGCAGAAGGCTTCCATCCGGGAAGCGGGAGCTGCCACTTGCTTCTTGGGTTTCCAAGTAGGGTCTGATGGAGCCAGCAGTCCTTAGCAGAGAAGGTTCCAGTGAAACTGACGCTCTCTCTCTCTCTCTCTCTCTCACACACACACACACACACACGCACGCACACAATTTTTCTTACTCTAACCTCTGTGCAAAATGAGCTTGGTCCTAACTTTAGTGAGCTGAAAGAGAGCAGGGAGGTTACGGTGCGTACGGGGAGAAACACGAGAAAAGCAACGGACTCTTTGCGGCAAAGCGCAAGCCAGCTGACCTGGTTTCATTTCCGAATATGACGACGACGACAAGGCCTCTGCCCTCTGCCCTTTCATCAGACTCTGTGCAAATTGTGAAATATTATTTTATTATTTTAGCAAAATTTAAAACAGACAGACAGACAAACAAACCACTTTTACAAAAAAAAACCTGTAAAAACGATCTTCAGCTACCTGGCTCCATCGCATACCTACAATCAGCCAAGTTTCCAATACACTGTAAATTTCCCCATCTATAAGTTGGTAATGAAAATTTGAAGACCTTTTTCCTTAAATTATCTCAGCTTTTAACTTCATTAAAAAGAGTTTTGTCTAAGCAAGAGTTACTATAATTATTATGATTATTCTATGTTCTTTCAGTACCCTAGAATGAAAAGAGAGAGAAAAAACTTATGCAAACCATTCGGATATTGAAAAGGGAAAAACGTATAACATTTGAAAACATGAATTTAAAAAAGCACAAAGAGAAGCAGTAAAAAGCAATGAGGCTTGATTTTTTAAAAAATTCTGTTGAAAAAAGTTTGTGCTGATGATTCAGTCATTCAACTGAAAGAGATAATTTTACAACTATGTTCAATAAAGCTTATTTCCAGGTAAGGCACGGTAAGCGCTGTCTGTCTTTGTTGAGTGCTTCAGACACACCCAGGTGCTGCGGCCGCAGTCGGTCGCTTTTCCTCTGGATCCACGGCTGTAATCCAAGCAGTGGGCTAGATCTGGTAGAGTCCTGCCACGGTGGGACAGTCACCACTGGTGGATGGACTCTGCCTGCCCCATGCACGCCCGGTATTCTTTGGCAGCAAAGGAGTTTCCAAAATGGCCACATCCTCCGTTTGAGGGGAGAGATAGTAGGCTGCTCCGGTCCCTCTGCTCTAGAATCGGTGTGCTCTGCACCCGAGCGCCAACCTGAGATGGACCAATTGAGCTGAGCCTCAAATGGAAGCATAGGACCAGGGCGAGTCAGAAGGGGCCTCCCGGCCCATCTAGTCTGACCCCCGGCTCCAGCCGGCTCCGCTCACGACAGGCCAAGAGTGAGGCCCTCCTACTCTAGCAAAAGCTTAATGGGCAAAGTCATACGGCTGGTGCAAACTGGCAACAGGGCCCAAGAGTTATTCCACAACACGCCGGGCTAATGATTCTTGCCATGGCAGGGACCCAGGCGGCTTGGTTTCCCACTTGTAAACTGCAAGGTCAAGAGGTCTGGATGTTCTCGACCATGAGCCATTCTGGGCAATCAAAGGAGGAGGTTCTCGAAATGGCCCTGAACATCTCCACAGCCCCTGAGGTTTCGTGCAGCTGTGAAACCTTTGCTGGAACCAGAACCATAAACCAGCCAAAGCCCGCCCCATCCACGAGCGAAGACAAGTCGAGTCAGTCCAGGGTAATCCGACGTGCAGAAATGTCAACAGCCAGAGCGCCACAGTGGAATCCCTGCACTACCTGGACCCAGGCACAGGTGAGCCCAAGAGGCAGCCATGGTCCAAGGCATCCGGCAGCCCCGGGCTACCACCAGTCAAGATCCGCAATCCACAGCAAGCAAGAATCCCCCTTCTAGGGAAAGCATGTTAGAACGTTCAAGGACAGGTTCTCAATAAAACAACATTCAACTGGAAAGAGTTCAGATGGGATGGAGAGCTCAGCGCCCCTAGAGGGGCAGGCAGACATAAGCAGGCGTAAACGAAGAGGCCCGGGGACAGGAAAGGCCAGAATAGCCTAGCACGGACTCCCAGCCCGGGCATTGGCTCAGAAATGAAGGCATGGCTGCCGCAGGAGGGTCTTCCTTCCCCCTCAAGCCTGGGCTAGGAGCTGAGGGAATAATTCAACCCGCACTGGCTTTCCCCTGAGAGCACCGACAGGGTAAGCTCACAGTGCTTCCTGGCATCCACCCTGAATCTTGGTTCCCTGAGTTTTGCGCCATTGGAACGCATCCTGCCCTCCACTGCAGGGGAATAAAGCTCATGACCCACCTCTGTGTGGCACCCCCTCACGTACCTGTATGACGGTACCAGGTCCCCTCTGAGTCTCCTCCTCTAAAGGCTGTAATAAAAGTGAGGCGAGGAGAGGAGAGGATCTGTCAACTCAGTGAGGATGGCAACAGGTGGCAAAGCAAAGGCAGAAATGCTCAATTCCAACTTTGGCTTGGTCACCTTCCAAAATGACCGCCATGGCAAAGATGAAGGACAAGCTGAAGGGGCGGGATGGCAGCTTGAGATTGATCAGCACGGGGCAAGCAGCACCCCATTCCTCTGAACAAGTTCAGATCCCCAGGGCCCAACCCGCTGTATCCTAGTGTAGGTAAAGGAAGTGGCAGGAGAACTCTCAGAACGGTTCTGGGCCCCACTGCTGAAGAAGGGAGCAGACCAGCCGGAAAGGGTTCAGAGGATGATCCGGGGACGGGAGACAAAGCTCTGTGACAAGAGATGAAAGAGCTGGGCGTGTTCAGTCCAGAAGGGAAGGCAGGATAGCCCTCTGAAAGGCTGTCCAGAGAAGAAGTCCAGGACCTCTTCTCGATCATCCCAGACCACAGGACGTGGAATGGCAGGCTTCAGTTCCAGGAAGCCCTGTAATACTTGACCAAGACTGTGGCATGTCATTCAGTGGGAGATTTTTGAATATTTTTTGCTGTATCACTGGGGAATTTTTATGAATCATTCTGATCTACTTCACCAGTTTGATGCATAAATATTTCACCTTGACTTCCAAGAAGACAGAGTGAAGATGCAGGGTGATCTTGATAAACTTGAACACTGGGCTGAAAGCAGCAGAATGAGATTCAATAAGGACAAGCGCCAAGTCCTCCACCCAGGAAAAAGGAACCAAAGGCATCGATACAGGATGGGGAACACGTGGCTCAGCAGAACTGAACAAGAAAAAGATCTCGGGGGAATTGTGGACAACAGGCTAAGCATGAGCCAACAATGCGATGCGGTTGCCGAAAGGGCAAATGCCATTTTGGGATGCATTAACAGAAGTATTACTTCCAAATCATGAGAAGTAGTAGTTCCTCTATACTCCTCTCTAATCAGACCCCACCTGGAATTCTGTGTCCAGTTCTGGGCACCAAGATTTAAGAAAGATGCAGGAAAATTAGAAAGGGTCCAGTGGAGGGTGACAAAAATGATCCAGGGTTTGGAAACATGACCCTGTGAGGAGAGAACTGAGGGAACTGGGCATATTCAGAGAAGAGGGGGGACATGAGTTCCCTCAACAAGTACCTCAAAGGCTGCCACAAAGAGGAAGGTCAAGATATCTTCGCACTGGTACCAGAGTGTAGGACATGGCATAATCAATTCAAGTTGTGACAACCCAGATTCGGGCTGGACATCAGCAAGCGCTTCCTCCCTGTCAGAGCAAGACGGCAGTGGGACCAGCTGCCTGGAGAGGTGGGGGGCTCTCCCACACTGGGGACATTCAAGGGGAAGCTGGGCAGCCACCTGAGTGGGGTGGTGTGACTTGGTGCCCTGCAACCGCAGAGAGTTGGACCTGATGGCCTTCTTGGCCCCTTTCAACTCTACTCTTCTCTGATTCTACGATTCAAACTATGGGATGAATATCAACCTAGACCCAAGTATTTCAAAAAAAGTCCAGTATATCTTGAAGGAGAGTGGCTCATGTTGTTCTGGGTGGTTTTCTCCTCTTGTCCCTCCAGGGATTGCGTTGCTTTTTACACTTTTAGAATAGGTAGTGATTGCAATGAATTTGTTCTGCTCCGACCTTTATCCTTGGATGCTTGCCTCTTCGGGCAAGGCTTAGATCTTTTTGAGGTCTCCTTGCCCCCTCCCCTCAAGGCAGCTGGGGAGAAGCAACCCACACCTCTGGGATCTTGTGTCCAAGAGACTCCTCCTTGCCCCCTTTGAACATGTACCTTTGCCAGGAGGTGGGGAATCAGTGCAGGTGGGGGAGCCCCCTGAGGAGGAGGTGCTGCTCCTGCCGCTTGGGTGCTTCCGTCCAGAGCCTGAGCTGGTTTTGTGGGATCATGGCATCGGACATGCTTCAAGAAAAGCCCCCGTGCCAGTTGGAATGCATTTTCTTTTCTGA